TATTTGTGGTGGTGGGTTCTGTCAATTTCAGGGAAAATTACGGTGAAAATACGCTATTTAAAGTTGAAATCTTTTCTATTTATTTTCCAAGATCTTTCGTAATGATGACGAAGTTTCAAATAAAGAGGGAAATGATATAACTTACTTTCGACTTTTTCGTACATTCACATTTTGAATTTGGTATAATCAACAAGAATAGAATTCTAATTATAGATGAATAGATTTCTAAGACACCCCCTTCTAATAATATATATATATATGCATGTATTACCAAAGGACAAAGGTCCAAAATAGATGCGGTTTTTCACTCGAAATGAAAGCAAAAAACATGTGTTAACAAATTTATCAAAAATCAGGGAATTATCCTATTCAGATGAAATGATCAATAGTTATTCATTCATTAATGAATTTACACGTGGAAATTAATTTTTCTTTTAATACGGATTAGCTTTATTATCTTTCAAATAAAACTAAAATTTCACTTCAAAGAAGGCATTTGATTTTAATTATTTAAAATGCGTTTTACGGGATTATTTTTAGCCCGTGGCGGTACCTATAGGACTTAGAAGACATGTGGTATTTATGGTGATTGGTGCACGAATGTGAAGTGCAAAGAAAAATTATCAAATGAATGAGACTTGCTAAGTTAAACGTCAGGATTTCCTCATTTTTATGACGTGTATTTGATGAATATATTATATGAATATCATTCAATATCGATCAATTGTGTAATTGTACAATAATAACCACTGGAACCAAAGCTCATTTTTCCAATAAAATAGGAGTTAATAGCGAGGGTTCCATAGTAAATTGATCCCCCTACAGAATCAAACCACCAATGAATGTAGCAGACGAAGACAAACGTAAAACGTCAGTCACAACACTAACGCCGTTTTCGACTGTATGAAATTTCTGCTCTTTATAATGCAACGCTGACGTTCCAGTGGTTCATATACTTATCGTCAGAACATTTGAAGCATCTTTCTTTACAAAACGGTATGGGTTGAGAAACTGAGAAATATATTATTTTTGGGTGTCAAATAACTTAAAAAATTTGAAATTTGCTATTTTAATATTCGTAATTATCAAAGAAAGAAAATAAATAAGAAAAGTGATGGTACAGTGTAACCCGGATGTAAGAGAGTTGTCGGGACCGGAGAAGAAGTCTCTTATATCCGGGTTTGGTCTATTTCGTTTAGTTTAGGTAACAGGCTCTAATTTGAGACCAGAGAAAATCTCTCTTATATCCGGGTCTCACTGTACCTATTTTACAAATTAAATATCTTTCTTGAACCTTTATTTTTAATTGCAAGCCAATTAATATTTCGAATAAGCAAAATATTCTACTATATTTCAAACCGCATTTAAATTGATTGGAATCATTTTTTAAATCGCCGAAATCAGTCATATTAACAAATCTGTCAACACAACATATTTTTATTAAAAAATCTTTCAAAAATAAAATATACTTTTCTGAAACTTCATTTAAGATTAACTAATTTAAAGTTTCATTAATCTGAATTTAAAAAATTATTTTTAGTTTAAAATATCGCAGAAAAGCATTTTTAACACGGTGATGGAGTTTTTATGAAGTATTGACAGATTTATTGATAGCTTATGTTTAGTATTTTTAACTAAAGGGAACATAACTGTAAAAAATACTTACTATTTTTTTTATCTTCTATGTGTCGGTTTCCATTCAGAACGTTAATGATCATGACTCTCCACAATTTCCTGTTCTTTGTAGGTCTTGATAAATTGTCTTTTTGTTATCTCTCCTAGACTGTTCTGCCATCCATTTACACAAGCTATGTAAGTTATTTTGTTGTTTTCATCTGTCCCTCTTGTCTTCAATCTATCCTGTGTACATCAAATTTTCCAAGTCCTCTTTCCTCATTATGTGCCCTAGAGATTTCAACTGTTTCTTATATTAAGTGTCCTTTGTTTCCATTTTCTCTAAAACTTTGTCGTTGCTCACATATTTGGTTCATGATATCCTCAGCATCCTTCTGTAGAACCACATATCTCTTGCTTCAAGTCTCTTCTTCATCTGTGAGGAGATTGTCCAGTATTCACTGCCGTATAGGAGGAGTGATATTAACAGTTTAGTAATTAACGGATTAACTAGTGTATTAAAAACAGTAAAGAAAGATTGAGGTAGTAATGTTAAATTTAACCTGTGAAGTGAGTTTACTTCTGTACAGTGCTGCCAAAAATATATACTCTATCCTAGGATTTTTTAAAAATGTTTTCTTAGTCACAGCAGCCAAAAAAACAGTATAAGGAAAAAGAACCCTAAGCGTAAATGTAAGTAAACACTTGCTGTCATAAACCTATTTTTCTGTTGCTAAGAAGTTCGTCAGGGCAAAGAAAGTAAGAGCTCTCTAAGTTATAATAAAAGGAATATTGTCTACCAAATCATTTATTACCAAAGTGCGGGGATGGGTGTAAGACTAAATCACATTCATTAAGTTTTTTTTTTTATCTGATCTCATATAATGAATATTTTTAAAATCTATTATTATCCTACTGTAGACATCTTGTTGTTGAGGCTTTTCGTTTGTACTTAGTTTCTTTCTACTTTTTACAATGAGACCTACAATCGCATATTGACTTCACTTTTATAAACACTGCTTTATTTTTTTTAAATTAATGGTATTTTTAGACATGATACAAGAAGCTCGATAGCATTGTTACAGGAGAAGAGTAAGACAAATTTGATCTGTCTATTTCTCTGTTTCCGCATATATTAGGAAAAATTTAACATATTTCGCTTTTATTTATACTTCATCAGAAAATGTAACTATGGAGGAGAATAGAAAATTCTTGTATTTTTCTCCTTCATATTTCATCTTCTGATGAAGTTTAAATAAATTTCAAACATTAAATTATGAATATTTTCTATTTGTTATTTTTGGATTCTAATGCCTGTTTGATCCCAATTAGAATTAATATACTAGTGATTTTCCAAGCATAGCTTAGATGTAGCACAAGGCCGAAAGTATGGGGCACCCAGTGAGGATCCCAATTAATATATCTCACAGACAGAACCGTGGATGAACTGGTGGGCACAATAAAGACTTGTCTACCTACAAAAAAAAAAAGTGGGGGTTTTGGGAAACCATTTTTTTTATATATTTGCATTCCTTAGAGACCTTTCTTAGGCCACGACATTTGTCAGAATCGAGAAATATCGATTTAAAAGAAGGTCCCGTTCACAGTATCGATATAAAATCGATGCATGGCTTTTGCAAAGTTATTGAAACTAGTACTTAAATGTCTGGTTTGAAACTGCGGCAGAATTATTATCTTTTTTTCTGAATTTCTAACCATTTTTTGTAACTTTAAATAATAAAAATTTTCTATATGGGATTTTTGGAAGTTCGTTTACAAATATTTGAGGTTAGTAATTATTCATTTTAAATTCTGAAAAAGCCGAAGCGGATGTGTACTTTTAGTAAACTATGTATTGTAAATTTTATTTTGGTAAATTTGCTTTTTAACGCCCGCGCTAAATATCTCTTAAAATTTTCCCAAATCGTTATAATTCCGTATAAATGTATATGCTGAACTAGAATTAACAATTCAATTATGAAAAAAACCTACCGTTTTGAATTATAGACAAGAAAAAAATCGAACTTCTTGTTGGTCATTCGTCCACCATTATTGCCATAATGTTTAGTAATTTACTGCGGGATACATGAGGCAGCGAAAGCACAAATTTTGGCCCATTTACTTCTTTTACAGATTTTCTTCGGTTATCGTACGCAAAACTACTAGGTTCAATAATTCTTTAAGAAGTCAGTGGATCGACTGTATCGATATCATAACCTGTACCTTCCCAGATCGATCTAAAAAAAAAAAAAAAAAAAAAAAATCAATATTTTTCAATTCTGACAAGTTTCGAGGCCTAAGGAATGTTTAAAAATTAAAAGAATGCTAATCTACATTTTTTTTCCCAGTGGATCAATCTATAATTTAAGTAGTACCAGTGGGCGGTGGTCATACCAGTATTTTTTAATCAATAAGAAACTATGTAACTAGGTTTACAAAAAAAAAAAAAGAAAAAATGTTTTTACTTCAGGAATTCTGTTATGTATTTATTTATTTATTTTTTTTTTTTAAATACCTTTAAAAACAACTATTGTCGAGAGATATTTAAAAATGGTAACACTAATTCTATTATTTCAGGGCAAAAACAAAATTTTTAAAAAAATCACAATACGTACGCAAGAGGCAAAAAAAGAAAACAAAATAGCAATATTTTTACCCCGGATTTAAAGCTTCACTTTCTTTTACTAAAATCAGATCCTTGAATTTATGACATCGATAAACAGTAAACAGTGTATACAAACATGAATATTTTGGACGGTGTTATTTTTAACTCCATTTACGGAAAAATTTAAATGTTTTTACTTTTTTTTATACATTCAAAAATAAATCAAAATGCCGTACTTATGGGTTCTGCTTTTTCTCACTTGAATATTCGGGGGCGTGGAAACATTCTTCATTGTTTGTTTCTTTTTGTCAACTGACCAATTGGATGAAACTTTCTTAGCCTAAAGCCAATCATATGTCGTATCGCCGCTGCCCGGTAAGTTATAATCCCGTTTAAGCTTTTTATTTATTTTTTTATCTTGTTTAAGAGCCGGAAGTAGTTGATAGCTAGCGTTAACTAGATTTCATTCAAGACTGGTCTACTACGAGCTGCGAGTCCATAGAGTTGTTTTCCACCGTTAACAGGACGGATTTCTAGCGGATAGGGAATGTACTGTGATCTGCGACATAAATACTGTATGTAACGACTATTCTGTTATTTTATCTACACTTTTTTTTTTACCTTGGACAACAAAAGGTGAAATTACTTTTCGACTAACTCGAAATGTATGATTACTTTTTGTTGTTCAAATGACAGCGTTTGCGTGAAACTTTTTTTTTTTTTTTTTTTTAGTATGTCTTCGTCTACAACTCACCCGTCTTTGCAAAGTGATACAGTGCTCATGGCCACATACTATCAAAAAGCTAACACCTTGTACAATACCCATGCTTACAGTGGGACACCTACAGAACTTCTATCAACAGCTTTTCATCCATTATCTTCATACGGCATAGATGCATCAACGACTTCCTATTCTCACACGCATCAAACCCATCCTGCTGTTCACACACAAGCGCATTACACACCAACTCTCCAGAACCAAGTTAACTGGCCGCAACTAGCCCACAGATATGGTCATATGGCCGGTTCAGCATCTGTTGCTGCGGACTATAATAATAATCGACTATTTAGTCATAGTTCGAATTCCCTTCTTCCCACCTCGGCAGAAATGAACGGTAGTAATCCAAGTGCTCATCGAAATATCCGTCAAACAGCCACTCCAACAACGTATCAAGAATGGCTAGCATCTAGTAATCAGCCAACAATCACAACATCAACAAGCAGCCTTAAGAGTTCAAATAACAGCAATGGTCGTTCTCTCAATCTTGATAGTTCTATGTCCACACTAGTCTCTCAGCACGATCAACAAGTGTTGCCCCCTTCTCAAAAGAACCAAAATGGTTTACGTGTAAACGCTCTTAACAGATACCCTTCATCTGTTTTTCATCGGACAATAAATTCATCACCACCACCAAATACACACGGGGACTACCTGCCTCAAACGATAAATGGAACTGACATGCAAAACAGCCTCAGTAATTCTCCTGTATCTTTTTCGGATATTTCCGTATCTACGTCGGACATAGTCCAAACACTTCCTCATCAATCGCTTCATTCCCAGCAACATCACTCTTCACTACATCAACAACAATCTCTTCACAATACGTGTCACCAGTTAAATCGTTTGAACTCTCCCGTTGTTTCTAACACGTATATCCAGTTGCCTCATCCGGCATTGGATCGCGCTGGTAGCAACGATGACGGACTTTGTTCTTCGGATCCTGATTCTTCAAGTCCAAATTCACTGATGAATGGAAGCCGAGCACCTTACGATTGGATGCGGTCAGCACAAATGGAAAATAATTCAAAAATACGGAAAGCAGGTAAAGAAAAGTTAACTTTTAAATGGACGTGTCAATAAAATTGAAAACCTTTTTGTGTCAGAAATTATTTCCGCTTACCAAATCTTGCAACGAGTGACATCTAAACTAAAAAAGTGATTGTAAATTTTTTTGGTGTAATCAATGTTTTCGGTTTCTTTTACATTCTGATACGATTTCATATCGAATTGATTTTCATATCGGTATAGTACTATTGTTTTACTTAACCTCGTAAAATGCATATTTTAAAATTGTCAGAATTTCTGATATGAGTTATTTTTATATGGACTATTGTCCTCATCTTTACGTTTCGATCGTTGTGCCCTTCAGCCTTCATCAGACCTCGTTAGGTGTTCTCTGAAGATAAGACTAAGTAAAATGTAAGGAAGGTAATTTAGTATTTGATAATAAAGGGACATTACTTATGTCAAACAGGTAGAACCCCCCCAAACATTTAGCTATTTAACAAATTTATGATCACTTGTGTAAGATTAAATCCCCTATGATCCTTTGTAAAACAAGGCATTAAATAACACTAACAGTAATACCGGAATGCAGAATGAATAAAAGGTTATGACCATAATGCGTGTCACATTATAAAAATTAAAAAATACAAACTACAAACATACAGCATTCAATTTTGAATTGCAAGTTCTGAAATTCAATTTCAAATAGCGACACAAAAATCTGTTATGTAAACAAAAGTTGAATAGCATTCAGTGTGAAGGTCTCTATCATTTGCTCTTTCTGGAAGTTACTATAAGGCGTCGTTTTATGAAGTATTTTCAGCAAGTGAATGGCCTTAGGTAAAAAACTACCCTCATTATTAAAAAGTGAAGGGACATAACTAATCAAATTTTCTACAGCTAAAGTACATAAACACTCCTCAAACATACCATTTCGTCACTATAGTTACTTGTTGCGACATGTGCCTCGTAAACGATTAGTCGAAATATGAACTTTTTTTTTTTTTTTTAAAGACGTAACTTAGCAAATTCGCGTAATTTGCAGTTTAAATTACCCGTAAGCGCTTGGAACATTCTTTTGGTACTACTTACGGTCGTTTTAGAAAAATTAGGGAAACATTTTCTGGGAATCCTTTTTTTTTATATATAATAGTGGTTTATGGTAATAGAGGTTATTCATGTAGTACTGGAAAAGTGGTTGAGTTAATTATTGTTTTTTTTGTAATCAGCCTAATACTAACCGTAAAAAAATAAAAATTTATTTTTGTATAATTGAGGTCAGTGTCGTGTGGTTGTAAAAGATTACATAAAATTTGAATTTAGCGTTTAGTCTCTTTTTAACCCTTACAAGTTTTGCCAATCTCCCAATTTAACGTCCGAAATTTTCACAAATCTCTCTCTCATATATATATATATATATATATATATATATATATATAAGAGAGAGTTGAAAATAATTTTTTTAAAAAGTATAACGTAAAAATTAAGCTTTAACACGCTGAATGACAATCACGCCAGTACGTCGCCGAAATATGTCAATAAGTAAAACTAAAAACATTCTAGATTCTTATATTCTATTCCGTTAAATTCTATCCACTTTGATTCAATTTTACATTTTATATGTACAAATGATAAATGTAGAATTTTTTAATAGGAAAATACAAAAGAAAATCTGTCAGTTCTGAAGTTTCATCAGAAATACGACAAAATTAGCGTCTGAAATACAATATTGAATTAACTTAATTTTTTTTTTTAGGATGGTGATCAAAGTAGAAAGTTACTTTTAGACTTCGGAGAACATTTTCCCTGTAAATGAATTAAGACGAGGGAATAAATTGCCTCTTGGACGCGTTTCCGCTTTATTTGAAAATACTTTTTTTGACCAAAAATAAAGGGAATAAGTAAAAGTTAAAAGTAAAATATGAATTCAACGTATACAGTCGCAATCAATTTCTGACATGCTGAAAAAATATGACGCAGCGTAAAAATTCTTCTAATGAAGACGCAATGCTTAAAGAATTAACATATTTTAAAAAAGTAAAACAAAACGTTTTTAATTCAATTTTCCAACAAAAAATCGTTCCATCGTTTTTCATTACTGCTTGTGACAACTGCAGGGAATTCTTCGGGTTTCCGTGACACTTTCAACATGGATTACTTAAGAACTTGGCTAAAACCTTATTTTCTCTTAATTTTGGAGGGAATCATTCTCTGATACAAACGACGTAAGAGTAAGAAAACTAACTTTTGAATTCTGTGAGCAGAATGAAATTGATTAGGTAAAGCAATCTAAGAGACGTCATAAAGAAATTGCTATGCGAAAAATATTTCAGACGACAAAACCAGTCTCATGGTATGACCAAGACGAAACCGTTCTAAAAGTTACATTTTACTAATTTATCAAGAACTGGAGAAACTGAATAGCCCAGTCTTATATTGGAATTCAGATCATAGCACTTTTAATGAATCGTCGTCTGGATAAATTAAGTTTCTCTTAAAACTGCGTTAACTAAGTCAAGATTACGACCGTTTCAGTGGCATACAAGTGTTAATTTAAAGTTCCTTTTATGCTTATGTATTTTCTTTTCTTTTTTTAAATCTCTTCATATTTCGCTTTTGTATTTTTATGAATTAAGTTTATATTGATTAAAAATCGTTTTTATTTATACTGAGTTTAGCCCAATTTATTTCCAGTTCATTAGTTATGGATTAGGTAGCTAATACTCTAGACATTTTGCTGATTTTGTACACTTTTCTTTTAGCATTGTATAATAATAATTAGAATAATGAAGGCTTTTAGTATTTTCAATATTTTTTTCAGGTAGATGTTTTAGGTTTCAAATTCTAAAGACATTTAAATAGCCTCCTGAAATGTTATAAATCCGATCTAAAAACAGGTTTCGGATACAAGTGACATAATGAATATATAGAATGTTTTGTCCCTATACGTACGGAATGTATTTTATTTTCCTAAGGCCAAGGGTATTATTAGCACGTAAGTGAATGTGATGAATTCGACTGGAATTCGAACTCAGCTCTCCGATTCCTTAATCCGGGCCTCCGTAAAGGTGATTTTTGAAATTCCTTCTTTGTAATGTACCTTCAGGACGTAGGTGATCGTGACAATCAACAGACTCTTCTTTACCTGTGAATTAACATTTTTTTTTTCTTTCTTGTAAAAGATAGTGGCGTGTTTTTCTGTTAACCTTCTCTACGTTTTGGAATTCAGTTTTTTATCCAAGGCTAGAGAGCCCAGTCTTTACTTTTTTTCTACCATGGTTGGAGGTGGTGAAGAAACTGCGAAGAAAATGTTCCTGATAATGACCGGAGGTGGCTGAATGCACTATAAATCAGTTTTTGAAAGATTCTCCATTTATTTTAAATCTGATTCAGATATACAAACTGTAAAAATGTAATAAAGATTAAACTTAAAGTAGACCTTTTCGGTTGATTTTAATAAAACTTGTTTGTAAAATATCCCAACTTTCTTGGAAAACAATGTTGAACTAGTTAGTTCTAATTTAATTTTCAATCCTTTTTCTTTTACTCGTTTATTATTGTATTTAAAAAAGTCTTACTAATTTACCAGCTTTGTCAGTTTTGACTTGGAGAGCAGGGTTCGATTTCCAGTCAGGTTCGTTCGTTGCATTCATTTACGTGTAAATTAAATACTCTCTTTGGGAAAGGTATGAATCTATTCTCTCCTCAGCAATGGGTTTAGGATTTGTATCTGGAAAAATTCTTCTCAGAATTAATAATGCAATATTTACTCGCAAAATCTAGAATTTTCACAAATCTAAAATCTTTCAACTTTAAACAACCTACAAATGACAAATCAGTTTTGATTCACCTACCATTTTTTTTAAGGATGGACAATAAGAAACAAGTGTTCAACACTGAAGTCTTGTTGTGGTCTGATTTTTCAGTTATTTGCTGTCGATTTAATTCTATTTTTCCACTTCGATATATAATCGAAGAAATGATTCTTGAGAGAGATGGAATAATCCTACAAATTACTGGGGGCAAAATCAAAAATCTTTATCCAAAATTTATTGATTTAGTAAATTTTTATTTACTGAATTGAAATTAAAAAATGATTGTCACAATTTTATCAGAAATTCATAGGCTTAAGAACTTTCTTAATTTTCAAAAATGCAAGCATGTATTTTTGACAAATTGTTTCAATATTATTATTTTTTATGCTGAAAGTAAATAGTTAGCAACGCGAAATGTAAAAAGTTGCCAAACATTTTTTAAAAATAAAATTGACCTTTTTTGAGTAAATAGGACATCGGTTAAAAATAATCTGGGGTCAGAATGTAATGAACATTAAGCAATGTGGTGAATGACAGACAAAATAGAAAATCCTGTAATTCGTTTCAGTTTAATGTTGAGGGATCATTTCTATGTAGAGAGTAGAGCGAAATTAAAATAAACGTCGATTAACAGTTAACACAAACTGAACCGCTGGAAATGTTGAAAAAAAAAAAAGTTTTCATTTGAAATTAGCCATTTTCAGTTGCAGTGAGGTGCGGAGATTTGGTGATGCCTGGGGCCAACTCCTTAAGGCGAGTAGAGTTGGGGGCGGGGGATTATAGGTGCTAATACTAAAAAATGTGAGAAGACATAAAAACAGATGAAACCTGAAATAAACACCTTTATTCAAATTAAATAAACTAAATTTATATTTCCCTTCTTTGATTGGATGACCGGGTCCGTCGTACCCTTTGTCCCCACTTCAGCACTTTAAATGTTTGTGAAAGGGTCATTAATTAGCAATATAATGAAGATAATATACGAACTCACCTTAAACATGAGGTTTTCCCGCATAAAAGTAAATGGTTCACAATACCATTTTTGACAAATTAAGTCAAAATTACAAGAAATCCCTAATAAAATAAGTGTTTCTTTTTTTTTTTTTTTTTTAAGGTTTAGGAAAGAATAAGAAATTTTATAACACAAAACAACGGTGATAATTTTAACTACAAGAGATTATGAAAGTTGTTCACCTGACCAAGAAACCCAACTGGTCATGTTTGTTGATGATTTGGGCAGAGTAGTTTTCAGTACCCCCA